AATAATACAAGGCCATGGCCAGTTTCATCCAAGTTCTGTTGTTATTGTTGAAACCTATGAAGAAGAGAAGAAACAGTTAGAAGTTCAGTTTACAGCAGCATATCAGCAAGCTTCTGCCTCCGTCCCTTTTGTCGTGGCCTTGAAGTTATGTGGCTCAGTTGACTTCTATCTAAGGTGGATGTTTTTTCTGTATCATTTCTATTGTTTGGTCACAGCTCAAGTAGTAGGGACTAGGCTTTGCATGCAGAAGTTGTTAGGTAGAGTTTGTGCTCAATATTATTATTGATATTTCAGTATACCAATAATCCAAGGCCAGTTTTATCCAAGTTCTGTTGTTATTGATGTATTTTATTTATTGATGGTATCTGTTGTCTATGTTATTAAGAATGCTGAGTAGATTCCTATTAATCTTCCTGGAGTTCTGCTTTAATATACTCAATTGTTAAAACTATTGAAAATGCTTTGTAAACAACAAGCTATCTCTTCTTATTTGCAATACTTGGAGAGCTAATAGCATTCACATGTTATAACATGAAACCCTTTGAGACAGTGTGGTCCATGCTGTGAAGATGTTGTATTTTAAATGTCTATCCCAATTCTATTAAAATTCCTGGAATGTTTTAACAGGAATAATATGATCTCAGGCTGGTTCTCATAACTGAGGCCATGATGCAAGCTTGCGTGGCCTGAGACGTGACCAGATGCATTTACTTCAAATTTTTCTTCTTCCTAAAAATAGGACATACACCAAAAGTGTTGAGAGAAATGGAGGACTTTGTGCAAGTTGGTTTTCGTTCACATAAATTTCATGTAATTTATTTCTCCAGAGTATAGTTTTTATAGTGGGGTTTTATTTAGAAACGGAGCTATATTTGTGTTGTTTGTATAAGATGTCAAAGGGTTTCTTCTTCAGAAATATACTAAGTAAGTCTTTGCGCATTTTTCAGATGAAACGTATGCGTGCCTAATTTTTGTTAAACTCTAGGCAGATATCAAAGATACAAATTAATGAATATCTGTAATTATTCACACCAGTAAATGTATCTTTTAAATGCAAGCAATGCAAGTACCTTAATTTGACCTGATATCAGTCTCTGTATGCAGAGCTGGAGTGAGAGAGGCAGTAGCAGCACACGGAGACAATCAGTTTATGTGCAGACATGAAGCATGTTGATAGGTAGAGAAAGCAGAGTGACCGAGAGATGAACTGATCACTGCGGTTCTTCTCCTTTCACTGTCTAGTCACAGGCTGAGGTGGGCTCAGAGGAAGTGAGTTGAATGATGCTTCCCATCAGACCAAGGACATATAACAGCATAACTGGGGGGGGGGCATATCTGGGTTGAAGCTGAATATTGCAACAAAAGCTTATTTTTATTTTTAACATTAAATGGAATTTTAGTTAATTTGCAAAGGGTTCCTTATTCTGGAATCACATATTTTGCTTGTGTAAAAGGTTTTTGTTAATTTTACAGTATTGCTTGGCCTAAATACAACATCATCAGCAACCCAATTTGATTCAATATAACTTAAAAAATAACTTTTTTTCATATATTTTTTGAAGCAACACTGATTTTTTAAATCACCAGTCAATGTAGGCCTGAATTGAATGGTGGGGGTAGCAGCCACAACAGATCTAAAAACTATAGGAAATGATACTCTTAAAATAATAATGCTTGAGCCCATCAACTTGTGATGCACAGTATGTAAGCAGCTATTTTAGGTCGTCATTTCAAAGGGAGAGAGACTAGACATGTTTTATTAACAAATAAAAACTTACACTACTAAACTATACACATTTTCCCAAAAAACTGTAAATATTGTGCAGTTAATGCAAAGTACATAAGCGGATTTATTAGGATGAAATTTAGACGGGACAGATGAGGCAGGCTTTGTTGTGCTTTTAATATTTCAGTGTAATGTTTTAAAGAAAAGAGCCAGAGATATTATACAGATTTAGTGAACACTATTTAAGCCATTTTAGTAGGCAACAATTTAAGAGACGACAATACAAGTTAAAGAAATTAAAGTGTATTATTTCACAAAGAATAGCTAGGAATATTTTGCAGTCAATGCAAAGTTCACGCGCAGCTTTATAAGGCTGCAATTTAAGAGGACAGACCAGGTATGTTTTATTATGAAATAAACAATTAGAGTTCATTATTTCAGAGACAATAACCATGTTTACTGTACTGACTTCATGCACAGTTGGCTGCAGTTTTCCAGGGAGTCAACAGGAAGATTGGTAATCAATGCATCAAAATTAGAGAGTTTTATGTTACAAAAAAAAACAAGAAATATTGTACTGACATGCACAATTTATAAGCACCTGGTACAAAGCAGCAATTTCTCATGGGACTACAGTTAGCTTGTAATCAAGAAATCAACATCAGAGTGTATTGTTTCTCAGTGATAAGCCAGCAAAATATTGTCCTGACTCTATACACTGTATTGAAGCACTTTTACTAGCCCGCATTTTGAAAAGGAGACACACCAGGCAGCTTTTGATCAAGCAATCAAGACTAGAGTGTATTTTTTTTTAAAAGGTAGCACAATATTGTACTGACTCCATACACAGTATTTAGGCAGTTTTACTAGGCCATTTCTTAACCACGAGAGACACCAACCAGTTTTTAATTTTAAAAAATAGCATTACAGTGTATTTCACAAAGCACCAAAAAAATTTAGTAAGTTCTTCTACAGTAATTAAGCACTTATACTAGATCGCAGTTTAACTAGAAAAGACACCAGCCACCTTTTAATAATAAAATCAGCATTAAAGTATATTTATTTTACAAAAAAAGACAGCAAATTGTTGTAGAATTGTTGTAGTGATTCTAAACACAGAATTTAGGCACTTTTACTAGGCCATATTTTGAACAGTAAGCTTTTAATACAAAAATCAACATTAGAAAAAAGCCATCAAAATATTGTAGTGACCCTGTGCCCTGCAAGTAGTCATTTGTACTTGTAAACAGGACACACACTATCTGGCGTTGAATAAAAAAAACAACACCAGAATGTATTTATTTCAGATAATAATGGAATCTTAGGTGTTCTGCCCTGTTATGGTTCCTCCCGGTCCGTGCCCAGGGTCTGCATGAGACTGGGTTGAAACTATATCCTCACAAGTGGTCTATTATGTAAGTTAAGTATGACATATAAGTTATTTATTGGTTTTTTTATTGCTGTTGGTAACAATTTTGCTTTACTTTAGTGTTCATTAGCCCAATCCTGATGAAGCGGTTTACTGTGAAACGCTTTGAGTGCTTATGAGACAACATACTTCTCACCCATTCCTATGGACTGAAATTATATTTAGCTTAAAGGAACAAAGCCACCAACAAGGCTGAAGAAAGGAATAAGGGTTGTATGCTTCTATGGATTGTGAGAAGTTTGGGCTTGGGGGTACACCTACATGCATTTTAATTTTATTTAGAATGTCACTGTTTTATGATTTAAAACCCGTTTTAGTGTTTCAAATTACGTTTACTATGTTTTTATATTTTGTGCATATCTGACTCCAAAAGTCTGACTTTAAAAGTCTGTTCTATTTTTCTTTTTCTGTTTCATATCATGGCTTGGGATGTGGTACCCAAACATCCACACACCATGGTTCATTAACATACTAGTGTACAGATACTAAATACAGCAAAATATTGTAGTGCACAGTGTTTAAGCACTTAAACTAGGATGCATTTTGAATAGGACAGACACCAGCCAGGTTTTTAATTTAAAAAAGTCAAAATAAGGGTTTTAATTGCACAGAGAAAGAACACCAAAATACTGATTGACTATGTGCCCAGTATTTAAGCACTTAAACTAGGTGGCTTCTTGAACAGGATAGACACAAGCTAGGTTTTAATAAAAATAACTTTAGAGTGTATTTATTTCACTTAAAAAAGACAACAAACTGTTGTAGTTACTCTATGCACAGCATTTAAGCACTTGTTCTGGACACATTTTGAGCAGGGGACCACTGCAATTTAAAAAAAATCAACATGAAAGTGTATTTCATAATAAAAGCCATCAAAATATTGTAGCGAATCAGTACATAATATTTATGCACTTGTACTAGGTTGCATTTTGAATTGGAAAGAAAACAGCCAGGTTTTAATTCAATTAAAAACAATTAACACTAGAAAGTGTTTATTTCACTGAAAATTAAACAGCAACATATTGTAGTGACTTCATACACAGTATTTAAGTACTTCTAATGGACCACATTTTGAAAAGGAAAGACAACTGGCAGCTTTTAATCCAAAAATCAGCATTAAAGTGTATTTATTATAATGAGAAAAGCCAGAAAAAAATAATAGCAAACCTGTACACAGTATTTTGGCACTTTTACTAGGCCACATTTTAACGAAGACAGATATCAGAGAGCTTTTCATCAAAGACTTGACTTTGTGCACAGTATTTAAGGACTTTCACTAGGCCACATTTTGAACAAAACAGAGACCAGCCAGCTTTTCATTTTAATTGAGTGTGTTTTTTTCCATTGAAAAGGGGCAGCAAATTGTTGTAGTGGCTCTGTCCACAGCAATTAAGAACTCGTGCTAGGTTGCATTTTAAACAGGAGAGACATCAGCCAGTTTTTAATAAAAAAACAACACTAGAGTGTACTAATTTCATGGAACAAAGCAGGCAAAGTTCTGTACTGATGCCATACACAGTATTTAAACACTTTTACTAGGCCACATTTTTGAGTAACAGATTAGCCAGGTTTTTATCAAGAAATTAAAATTATCATGCATTATTTCAGAGAAAAAAGTCAGAAATTGTACAGACTACTTGTACATTATGTAACCAGCTTTAGTGGGCTGTATTTTTAAAGGGAGACACCAGGCAACTTTATAGTGAAATAAAGATTAAAGCATACTGCACACACAAGAGTCCATGGGGCCCATACCTTACTTCAAAGAGGGAAAAACAAATATGCAACAAATATACAAATCATGACAGAAAGAAAAGACAATCAAAAAAGGCAAGGATGTGGGAGCAGCAACTAAAATGGCAGGTACAAATAAAAACTCCATGATTGGTCCTTCTACGTCAGCTGACCACAGTTCAGAGGCAGGAAGTGCATTGTTGGCAATTGGTTGCTAAAAGCATAAGCGGCACATTAGTTCACCATTTTGTGAACCACAAAATACTTTCTTTTCTATACTTAGAAGTGTGAAGAGTGAGAATGATTGAAAGAGAAGGGAAGGGTCTCTTTGCTAAGGAAGCATTGCAGAAGAATGGCATAGTGGTTGTGGTGGTTAGATAATGGAACAGCTAAAGGTACTGCAGGTAGTGGCTGCTAAGGACAGAGGGGGCTGTTTGTTTTTCAACAGTTAATAGCAAGTCTAACAATGGAGGTATGACTGAGACAGGCATGTAATAGACATAAAGAGGGAAATCCCTTTAGGTCTGGTTTACACTGAGCGTTTTGTAGTGCTTTTTCTGCTCCAAAAAACGCCCAGAAAATCAGCCCAAAAAATCCCTGTTCACATCTGAGTATGTTGTCGCAAAAAGCTAAAGGCCTGTTGCTGGAAAAAGTACAGGAGCTTTCTTTTTGGCATATTACAGCTCATTTTGGTCCTAGAGACTTAATAGGAAATGCTTGAAAACGCCATTTGCTGTGTTTGTCCGTGTTTTTATGTGCGCTTTATGCACATTTTTCTCATTAACGTCAATGAGCTACAATCTGCTCACAAAACGTGCTTTTTGACGCCTAGGTGTGAACCAGGCCTTAATTACCTTCTCTGTCATTGTTTTCCTGATCTCCTTCATGTGGTTCAACCTATCATGAAATGCCTCATTGCAAGAAGAACTGGC